AATGTCATAGTTAGGCAGTTATTTTCACTCTCAGGATGAAAGCCTCCAGATGATTAATAGAGCAGATACGGTGAATTCATTAATTCTCGTATAATGTTTTTGTATCAGTATGCCTTTAAAGCCTTTCCTAAGGTACATCTTATTCAGTGACCTCAAATGTGACTATTTCAACAATATCTAGAAAATCATGGAAACTACAGGATTATTGAACAATTGTTTCAATTCATTGAAGAATAACGAATTAGTGTAATTCAGGTGGGTTATTTTAATTGGGTTTCATTATATGATATATATATATATAGTTTAACTGAAAGCACATCTAACATCTAGTGTCATTAAGTGAAATTCGATTTTAATCTAACTTCAAACATTACAATCTCCCTCTTTCCCTCCTTGACTAAATGTCACAATGATACAGTAAATCTTTTGCCTATATCTAGAAAATGTATCTTACAAAATCTTATTATCTTATTCTTAGCAGTTTATATATATGGATTAAATTCAATATCATTTCTAAAAAGTAATCTTTTCAAATTATAACCTTAGATTGGTTAAACATGCTTATAAATAGTTATATATTTGTTAAATACTAACTGTTTTCAGTCACAAGTTAGGTCTTTTGATATTCTTAAAGCTCAGTGTGATATCATATACTGGTAAGGGAGAATAAATTTTATCTGGTATTTGGTTTTTAATTGACTAACTATATATTAAACATTTTCGAACTTACATCATTTACAATATTAGGGCTTTTTTTTAAAAAGATCTATGCTTCATAAATTTAAGCGTTCAACTTTACCGTAATTGTTTATAAGTCTGAACTATCTTCTAACTAATGCAGTATTGGTATACAAATTGATGCGGTTTACCACCTGAAAGATGGACAAAAAATGATTGAATTCTTGCTTTCATTACTGCAGTTTTGATTTTAATGTGAAAGCACTATCACGTAAATCTCTATGGATGCTGAATTAAAAAAAGAATCCAAGTTTGTAGCCTTTACTGACTAGAAACAAGCTAAGTAGAATTATTTCCGGACGAGCCCTGACTTTTGCCCCCAAATGCCCTGGTATGGCCGAGAGCGGGGTGGGTCCGCCCTCCCTCTCGAAATACTCTCACACGGCCACGCGTATACAGCCTCTGCCAGGGAAGCCCTACTCACTGCCTTCTCGTACCACGGGTGTTGTTTACGAAAATCAGAGGACGAAAAGCGAATGTTCGGCGCTTCAACCGGATTCCAAATCTATGGTGCACATGGGCTCCAGTATCCTGCGGGAACAAATGGCGTATGAACCCATTTTCGGTCACCGGCTACCATGGGACTGCATCTCCTTACGATGCTCCACTGCCTTGTGGGTTAGACCTTTAGGTCAAAGGCTCGGGGAGTGGCCCCCTAAGATAACCACCTGCATCGGTCTGGGCACCCGGGCAGTATCGCAGCCCACACGCAATTAATGGACTGAAATTGTGTGGCGCATATATATTTGGCGCACTCCTGTACCAATATATATGTGTTCAAATAATAAAATAATAATACTAACCAGTCACTGTTGCCATACACGTATCTTGGGCAGAGACACCATGATATTGCCTCTATTTATTTACAAACTTGAATTGTGGCCAGTGGTGGGATCCAGAATGCGCAAGCCGTTATATTCAGGATTCATTTAGTGGATGTATCAACATGCCGGTGTTGACGTTCATTCGTGATTCAAACATACTAGGTTATAATACTTTTTTAAGACTACTTTATTTGTGAGATTGCTCAATCTGAGCAGAAATTTTGTCTAGCATATCTACCGTGATATAGACAATTCATGAGGAATAGAATATGATATATATCTCAACGGATTTTTTCGGTTTTCATAAATAAAAACTTGTAAGTATAATTTTTATCATTGAATGTATGCTATAGCCGAAAGTAAATGAAAAACCTATTAGAATAACAGTAACACGAAACTCAACAAAGATCTCTTTCAACGAATTATAGTAATACATTTGGAAGCATACAGTAGCATATTCATAGCCCAACTTTTCGACAGAAAACAATAACATACCATGAAGTTAGTTGGATAAGGCGGAAACTGACACACACAACTCCCAAACAATAATCCCCAGTGATGAAACCTACAAAGAAAGCAGCAGTGCAGAAAAATTGATATTTTGAAGACTTACGGAAATGAAACATCCCCGTATATATGGCAACAAAGAATGACCATGGGACACAGAGAATTAGCAAACTAACAGTATCAACCACCAATCAGAAGAAAGCAAAGGTTGTGAGAAAATATGGATTGGGAGAAAGTACTTTGGGTTGTCGTTACAGGAAAGAACTTAATATATATTAACAAAACTGCATAACTTCTGATTTCCCTAGTACTAACTCTTCGCATCACTTAATCAATCAACGGTTGGCCGGAATACTGGAATCGATAAGGAAAGACAAGTAAAACAATTATAATCCCATGAAAAGGAAGCAAAAGCAGATCGACATCGCAACATAAGCACTCGATGAATAGAAAAAAATGACGATTATGGATTTAAAATTACGATCATCTTACAAGCCATGATTGACGAAGGTGGCATGTACAATTTTAATGCACAAAACTAGATCAATTGATGAGCTCGTACAATTATAATAAATAAATTTGTACATTGATAATGGTGAGCCAAACAGAAGTATACAAATGAGAAGGTCAATCGATGGCAATCAGAAGTGACTTGGAGGACATGTGCATATCATTGGCTAAGAAACGGATTGATTTGCTAAGGGGTAGAGATGTATATATATATGTATATGCGTTTTATTCGATAGCCCAATATAATTTCTCGTCCACTCTTGTGTTTTCACTCAAGTATCCAGCTGGGGAGTTAGTGTGTAGTACGTCATGTATCAGTAACAGTTTTCGGGCACCCCCATTACAGCACACACTCACTGATTATTTGTCTCAACACAAATTACCTGATAGTTGATAACCTCATAAATCATGGTAGAAAATTTAAGCTGATTCTTTTATTTCATATTTTTTATATTAACTTTTATGCATGGATAACTTTTTGAAAAGTTATTCACACAGTCTCATTTGTTGCTGCTAAGATATAAATATATATCTAACAAGATATTACCATTTACTGAATTGACAAAAGAAAATAACAGACATAAACAATAATCTCCATAATAAGAAAAAAAGTCACCTGTAACTTGAACGACGTATTGTCTAGACCAGGAGTTATGTCAATTATATTTGCCTGTTACTGGTGAACAATCAAGACTCTAAACCAAATTTAATAAAAAAGGACCACAGTTTATAACAAATTTGTTTATTTTTGTTCTTATTATTATTCGTTTCTCTCTACACAGAGAAATATATATGAGAAAAAGATAAATACAACATAAAAACCTAGAAAGGTTCAATGAAAAAAAAATGGATGAGCGGGAGAGAAGAGAAACACATACCGGGAACACCAAAATCCTAATTCACCGTAATTGGTATTAGCAGAGAGGAAAAAGAATTTCGAAAAAGCAATAATGAATAATACCCCCCCCCAAAAAAAGCAATTTACTTCTTTTACTGAAGATGTCAAAATACTACAAATAACACTATGCAACCTAGTATATTTCTGGTTAGTAATTCTATAAAATGAATTTTACACATCTATATAGCGTAATAGATGCACATAGCTGTAAAGCAATTTGAAAAAAAAGGATAAAAATTAATTGTCACGTTTAGAATAGTTAATCGACACCAATCGATGTTTTATCTAGGTGTTCAAGGTGACCTTATTTCTGTAATGATCACCTACTTCACATATTTATATAAAAGTAATAAAAAATAAATAAGGACGGAGAGGCAGGGGAATAGACCAAATGATGAATAGGACAAAAGTGAGTTTTATAAACATTTTTCCTATCAGTTTAATTATTTGTAACACGATTGTTCTCCATCTCTCTATCACACATATGAAAGAAACAAATTATACACTTTATGGATAATAAGAAAAGTATCCCAGAATATACAGGAACAAGAAAGATGTAATGGAGACTAATCACTCATAGAAATAGAAAAGAAAACAAACTATGATAATCAATCACTAAGACACACAGAAGTACTCAGTTGACTGGTAAGGAATTATTAATAAACTGTACATACGAATAGAAAAAAAAAGAGAATCATAGCTCTGTTCTATTTCTTATACAGTTAATAACTCGTTATTTTTAAAGAAAGTTTAATTAGCGTTCATAAAGGTTAAACATGCACATCGAGATATGCCAGATTAAGGAGTAATTAGAAAACAAACAAACAAACCAAGAGAGTAAGAGTAGGAATGAGATATTTGACAATAATTAATTAATACATGTATAGACTGGCAGAAGTCTTATTATTAATACAATTAAGAAAACATCAATTGCTTTTGTTCATTTTCTCGTAAATATTCAAATAGTTAGAATATTAACAACAACAACAACGCTAATGCAAAAAGCATTAAGACAATAGCATAAGAATTGAATACGATATATATATGTATATATATAGCAGGTGAAAACTGGAAGAGTTATTGTGAAAGCGCTATCATTATTATTATTATTATTATCCGATTCAGAATTTCCTATACAAATAGAGTAACACAATATCTACTTATGTGTTTGATTTGAGTTCTGTCAATTTGGAAGGGATGATAAAATAATATGAAAGAAAGTAGGAAATACAAGGGAGAAATGCCGTGCACAAATTAATACAAGTCAATTTGAAGAAGTATTAAAAATCTTGAAAAAAAAATGGAGGGGGAAAAAGTAAGCTACAGTTTTATAAACACAGAAAATATAAATAAAACAAAATTGGTACATAGGTTGAGTTAGGCTTATGCGGTTATTATTATTTTGATTGTTTGATGACTTCTTTCTTAGAAATTAACAAACAAACAAACAAACAAACAAATTAAATCATCACAAAAACAATAAAGAGAACATGGATTTTCAAAAGAAACAAAGTAAGAATTATTCACCGAGAATTATAGTTTGCATTAAGCCATGTTAAACCTTCATATAGGCCTTCACCTTTGATAGCAACCGACGGTTGAACATACCATATGTGTCCATGTAATCGTGCTAGCATAAGACGTTCTTGAATTTCATTAGGTTTCATAACTAAACATAAACCATACAGATAAACAATATGAGATAATATCAACCGACTGGTTGTTTTTAAATATAGGAAAATTAAGTCATAAGTTTATGTTTTTTATAGTTAATATAAGCTACGTAAAGTTTTGTGGATAAGTTAAATATAAACGTAATTATATTACTTAAATATATATATATATATATATATATATATATATATATATATATATATATATATATATATATATATATACATATGTCTAATGAAGATGAGATTAAAATCACTTCATATCTTTCTTTCTACTAACTAAATCTTTCTTCCTGTACTGTATCCTTATATGCAATCTTTCTCCTATATATTACCACCTTTGACCTAACCACTCCTATGAATCCGGTGTTCATCTTGCTGCGCTAATGCGGTATGGCAACCTGGACCGATGCATATATGTGCCTGGTCCTACGTTGTAGCTGACTGACTGACTGAATGAAGATGAGAGATAAAATCATGGAAAATGCATTTTATAAAATTTTGAATACAGCAAAGCACTGCATAATTTATGGCAATACACTTATTTGATTTCTGTATCTATCATTCAAAACAGCCTTGTTGGTCCTTAGAAGTCAGGCTTATTAACTGTCTCATCATTTTATGTCCTCCATTGACCACCTTATATCTCGAAAATAAACAGGGCTTAGTAATTAAGGAGGATGTTTTTGACTGGTTATTTGATTATCCTCAGTTTTGTAAAATAATATTTTAGTGACTTCAGTGCAGATATTTATTACACAAAAAATCACGGTTTTTATTAATTAGTAGGTCACTAGAGTATGATTGATTCAAGAGAGTAGAGTTTTATTTAGGTTCGGATTGGTATTCTGTTTAAAGATGTCGATAATTAAGTCTAATACTTCACTTCTCATATTTATCTTATAGACTATGTTTCTGAATCAACAAACCAATGATCTGGATATTAGAATATAACTTTTGGATTACAGATATTAAATAATAATAATAATAATAATAATAATAATAATAATAATAATAATAATAATAATAATAATAATAATAATAATAATAATAATAATAATAATGTATATCTGTAACTATTTTATCTTCGAATACCTATAACATTAAATCATTATTTGACCATTTAGAACAGTTCGGGAGAACATTGAACTTATACAATTGTAATTGCAAAACAAGTCAAGTAAAATTGTTATAAGATAATTAGTAACAAATCAATTGACATTAGTCTTTGTTTTTTATGATATAATTTTATGTAGTAAAGTGTGTGCCAGAATAAATAAATAATTATGTTAACCATGTTGGACAGTATTACATGAAGTATATTTTTATAAATATTTTAACGGTATAATTCTCTTACGTAAGCTAATTTTAAGTACAAGTTAATATATCTATGAATTGAAGTAGAATTTAGTTATTAACTCTGATCGAAGTTTAACTAAAACAATTCTATGATATAAAGAAGTAGACAGTTAAAAGTTATTAACATATTTCTAGAAAGAGTTTCGTGTTTATTGACAGTTAGTTTAGGATATATTGATACGAATATTCACAGTGATATTGATTATTTAGAACAATAATATTGTGTGAATAGGTATCCGTACTAGTTGTTAATATCATATGAGTTGGCAAGGACTTAGTACTAGTTCATAAGTGGATGATAGTCGATATGACTTATTTGAATCGTGATACGGATGTTGATTATTATTTCCGAAAAATGTCCGTTCAATTTTACTCAATCGATGCGGCTAAATTCACCTGCGAGAGTAACTTATTATAATATTTAGAAACAACACTCTAGATTCCGACATCATTTGCAAACTTAAAGATTTATAACTTGGATTTACTCATTTACTGTAGACCATAAATGTTTTTTTTATTTCGAGCGACTTTAACTGTCAGTTATCCTTTCACAGGACCGAATTATATAAAACGAACAGTTGTAAAATATTTACAAAGTTCTTAAGTATTGATTGGATATATTGATATGATCACTAGGTAAAGTGAAACGACATTGCAATAAACTACATTCTATACCAAACTTTTGGAGGTAACCATGAGACTGCGGTGTACCCTACTTATGTTAACAGATATAAGTAGTATGTAACATCAATCAGAAGTGGAATACCTGGCAGCAGAAGATTGGGTTGGAGAGAACAGAAGGGAAAACAGAGAGCAATGTTAATAACAACAGAATTAAAAGAATCGTGAAGCATGTTAAGGACAACTGAAGGATGATGTGAAAATAATGTATTTAATGTTTGGCTCCTATATTTTCCGAAAGCACTTTGTAATTTTGAAACAAACAATACGTTGGTCTTCCCCATCTGAGTTCTTGTTTACTACAAGATGACTGAGACTGCAAACTATTTCCAGTCATTGAATACAACTCAGTAATAATAGGAACGATAAAAATCTGATGAATAATGAGAGCTTCTAAAGGGGTCGTATTCCATGAATGTTCAGAACGATAGTCTTGCAAAGAATGTAATAGATTCAAATGATTACATTGCGCAGCAGTTAGGAAAGAGTAGACAAAAGTAGAGATAACGAGATAAACAAGAAGAATACACGACGAAGAAAGAAGCTGGATGAAAAGTAACGAAATGAATCTGTCAGGGTTATTATGATAGTCCTTAGTCACTAAAGATCTATCATATAGTCCCGAAATAATCCAGAACAGATTGTTGAGTAATATGATCACCCTTTTATAGAAAATTATCTTACTTATTTGATAAACCGCGTAAATCCAAACGAACAAACCCTATCCATAATGAGATTTCATCAATGACCAGTCCTTCTGACTTGAAAGAACTCCCTAAATGAGTAGTCTACAAGTTTAATCACTTAAATCAAAGATGGACTAATCTTCGAGCATTATCTTCTGAAAAGACAAACTGCCAGCCAAACATTCCTAAGTTTCCATTTAAAACGTTTGGTGAACCATACATATTATTATATATTCACTTAACAGGATTGTATTGTCTCCACAATTTAGATCAATCACAGGATTTCCAAGCAAGTTATCAATCTCATTAAAGGTGACGCTAGAAAAATTCACGCTATGATGAAATCAGTAGCGATACAATAACGATTAAAGTTTGGTCTGAGAATATCAAATAATAATAATAATAATAATAATAATAATAATAATAATAATAATAATAATGACCCAAGATATTCCCATTCTTATACGTTTGACGTATTTATTTGATCGCTCTATGGCAGTAGCCAGATAAGGCCTGGAAGTCAATTATTTGCACATTTCATATTTAGAGTTTTATAAAAACTTCTAATATTAATATTAAACAAATACATTTCAAGTGTATGTTCTAGAATAATTCCTAAGCTCATATGTAACTACAAACGATTTTTTCCTGACAATTAGCACTTTGTAGTTCAAACTTACCATTAGGAAGATCTTGTTTGTTCGCAAATACTAAGATGACAGCACCTTGCATTTCACGATCAGTAGCTATCCGATGCAATTCTTGTCTAGCTTCTTCTATTCTGTCTCGATCTGAACTATCAACAACAAATATAAGACCTTGACTTCCAGTGAAATAATGACGCCATAATGGTCTGATTTTTTCTTGACCTCCAACATCCTATAAGAAATCATAAATATGCTCAAAAAAGATAATTTAATTCGACATACCCAAACATTAAATCTTACATTTTTGTAAGTTACGGTTTCAACGTTAAAACCAACAGTTGGGATGGTGCTAACGCTTGATCCAAGTTTTAATCGGTAAAGGATAGCTACAAATTAGTACATATTTATTATGTTGAAAATTACTTGTTTTCCCAGCAGCATCAAGACCCAGCATAAGAATACGCATTTCTTTACTTCCGAAGAGTTTGGAAAAAAGTTTGCCCATTTTGAAAGTAACTAACCCTCAGAGGCACTAAACTATAGGAAAAATTATACGAAAAGACATACGTAGAAAAAACAAAAAAAATATATATATCTCAGATATTTCAATTGACATGATTTCCAAAATACCAAATTAGAGAAACACCGAAATCGATAAAGACAAAGTAAATGGACCGGAAGTACTGTGATGTACTGGTTTAGACACTAAACGTTGAATAATGTATTCACGAAATTCTAGTACTTTTCTATCTATTAATAAAAGGACGCTCGAGAAACCTACATTGTAGGTGCCAGCTTGTAATTTCTGAATGCATTGTTTTATTTGTTTGTCAGGGGTCAACTTTAAAGCTCAAACAAAATAAAAACATGCAAAGATGTACAAGTACGGATTGTTACGTAAATCGAAACCGCAAAATGGTGTAAAATGCCTTAAAATAGTAAAAGAGATGGAAAAGTAGGTAATGGTGAGACTAACAATTCATTTGATTATCAGAGAAATCATTATGGTTAGTAAAGCCTTGTAAGACTCTAATTGATAAATTTGTAGTTCCAAGCAGAATGCTTCGAAAATCCAGTACTTCACTATTTACTAGCTTGTCATGACATAACCACCTTGATGTTTCTTTGAACCGATATTGGCTTTACAGTCTACCTGATGATCGGGTAAATTAAGAATAAACACAAGTGACACATCTCATGTCAATTGATTATTTATTTATTTGAACACATAAATATTGGTACAAGAATGCGCCAAATATATATGCGCCACACAAAACAATGAGAATTCGAAGAGAAAGGAAAAAAAAGAGAATAAAAAGATATTGATGTAAGGTGGTGTAATAATAATAATGGTAAAAATGGGGGAACGGAAAGGTACAATCAGAAGAAATCTTTCAGTTAAGGAAGACACAACCACTTTTTTTATGAAAAAAGTAAAAGAAGGTTACAGCAGGATCGCCACTGGCTCCTATTCTGATCCATATCTGATAACGTCTCTAGTCACTGTGTCGCACCATCTCTCGGACCCCAGCCGGGAGTTGTGAAGGACCAACACAAGTCAGCCCTTTGCGGCTTTCTTTCATACCACGACACCATGTCATATACTGACCACCTCTCCGCTTTTTCCAATCAGTCCCAGAGTCGGCAAATAATGCACGACGTGGAATTCTCTGGGACGGCATTCGTAGAACATGTCCAAGCCACCGAAGTCGGTGTTTCAAGATGGTCACACCAATTGCATTATCGTCTCTGCGCCCGAACACACGATCCCGAACCTCTGCATTACTAGCATGGTGTTGCCACTGGATGTCAGCAGTCCTTCGGAGACAATGATGACCGAACACAGAAAGTCGTCTAACGTCCTCAACTCGGAGACCAGGTTTCACAAGCATAGAGCAAAACTGCTCTCACCGACGCGTTGTAGGTCCGACCTTTTACAGCCAGACTAACATCACGAAGGCGCCAAAGATGGCCCAGATTAGCATAAGCCGCTCTGGCTTTCACTATACGTGCACTGATCTCATCACTCACGCCACCACCAGCACTTATGCAGCGACCCAGATACATGAACTCCTCGACTACTTCTATCTCCTCACCATCCAGAGTGAGTAAAGGACTAGAATCCTGCTAGTCTTGTAGAAGTACTTTGCACTTCAAAGGTGCAAAGCTCATACCGTACCTACGGACACTGATTGTCAACTGATTAAGTGCGGATTGCATGGCTTGGGCATTATCGCACAGTAAGACAATATCATCCGCATACACAAGGTCGAGAAGTCTTTCTCCAGGCAACAGATCCACACCACCATTACTTATATCCATCAGAGCTGTTTCCAGAATGTCATCAATGGCAAAGTTGAAGAGGAATGGTGAGATTGGGCAACCCTGACTAACCCCGCTGCTCGAATGGAACAATGGAGAAAGGTGGTTGTATGCCCTCACTCCGCCTGAGGTGTTTATACATGGGTTTTTTAAGATGTTAATAAACTTCTCAGGCACACCCTTCTTCAATAGACAATCCCAAAGAACAGTCCTGTACAACGAATCGAAGGCAGCCCTGATGTCATTAAACACTACTATTATTTGCCTGTAATAAGTATGACGGTGTTCCAACATTTGGTGGAGGGTGAAGATATGATCAATACATCCTCGACCGGAACGAACCCCCGATAGTCGTTACAGGAACGACGTGAACCCTTTTTAAAGATAGGGACAACTATCGACTCATTCCATGAAGTTGGTACACTCTCTATTTTCCAAACCTTTGTAAACAACGTCGTCAATTCCTTAATCAGAAAGTCAACACCATCTTTAAAAAGAGCCAGAGGTAAGTCATCTGGGCCCGGTGATTTGTAGCGCTTCAAGAATTGGAGTTCCTTGCGGACTTCCGCCGCATTTGGTGGATCAGTCGTCACAAGGCATGGAGGGCAGGACAGTCTGACCGATATAGCCGGAGCAGCAGGCCAGTTGAACTGCCCTTCGAAAAATTCTTCCCATCGTCCAAGACGTCGATGGATGTTAGTGATTGGCATCCAATCATCCTCGTAGATTGTTTCGTTCACACCAGACTTCTTGTTGCCAGTGGCTCGGATGAGTTGGAAGAGCTTCCGGTAATTACCAGATGCAGCTGCTGCTTCCAACTCATTAGCACGCTCCGACCACCAGGCTTCTTGGTCCTTACGCAAGCTTTGCCCGATTTCCTTACGTAACATCCTTGGTTTGTGGTCAAACTCACGGTCACCCGGAGTAGACCGACGGGCTTCAATGAGTTGTAAGGAGCTTGAAGAAACCCAGTGCTTATAAGCGGGACGTTTCGCGAACCCACAACTGACTGTTCCCGCCATTTTCATGGCGTCATGCAATTGCAACCAATGCTCATCCATACTTTTCGGTGGAATGGTAGCTAGCCTAGCAGCTAGCTCGGTTCGATACTTACTAGCAACGGAAGTTGCAACCAGCTTGCTAATATTAATCCGTTGATGGCGGTCACTTCGTTGGCCATCAATTTTACTGTTGAGTCTAACTCAACACTCCCAAGCAAAAACAGCATCTAAAATACTAGTCTCAATAATTATCGGGCGCCTAACAAAGACTCGTGAACTGCAAACACGAGAAAATCAGGCTGACTTCAAACTTGGTCGTGGATGCATCGACCACGTATTCACTATCGTCAGGTCCTAGAACTGAGGCATGCTTATCGGCGTCCGACAATGGTGATCTTTCTTGATTTAAAAGCGACACTTAACTTTGTAGACCGAGAGGTTCTGTGGCAATGTCTATCATTGAAAGGTGAACCTCAGAAGTACATAACCGTTGTGAAGGTTCTTTACTCGAACACTACCAGTCGATTCAGAGCTTATGGCGAACCTTCGTTTGATTTTGCAACCTCAAGTGGTGCCCGGCAAGAGTGTCTACTATTTGTTTGATTTCATCATAAACCTACTGCTGGAAATAACGTTCTCATCGTCTAGATTTTCGGGAACCGATCTCCTACCAGGAGACCCACTTATTAACTTAGAATACGCAGATGACATAGTCCTGTTGGTGGAAACGCAGCGTCTTGGTAGCACTGAACAACACTGGGATGTTAGGGATGCGTCCCACCACTAAATGCAAGTTGTCACTTCAGGATTGGCCTGCGTCAACACCTGAACTAAGGATAGGGAGTGAAGTAGTCGAACGCGTCGACAACCTCAATTATCGTGAAGTCTGATCAGCCCTAATTGGTTGGTGTCTGATGAAATTTCTGCATGGATTCAGAAAGCTCGTTTGGCTTTTGCCAACTTACGTCACTTATGGCGAAGGCAAGATATCCGTCTATCAATTAAGGGACGAGTATACTGTCCAGTAGTTCGTTCTGTACTACTTTACGTCTGCGAAACGTGGCCATTGAGAGTAGAAGATACCCGTAAGTTACTAGTATTTGACCACAGATGTCTTAGAAATATTGCTCGTACCTGCTGGGATCAACGAGTAAGTCATAGTGAGGTTAGGCGCAGGGTATGAGGGGATGATGTAAATATTCATCAACTAAGATGGTTGGTTCAACTCCGCCTGGAGTCCCTCCGGGGGCTACTGCCGGTCCCCAGCCCGGATAAAGGAGGAGGGTTGGGCATGGGGTTAGCGACCACATCCTGTAGAAAACTAACTCGCCAAAAGAACGCTAACCAGAAAAAATTATTCGAACCTTTTAAACTCTGCCCTGGGAATCAGAAGGTCTTCATTTAGAGCTATGACGCCTCATGATGAAAGCCGAGTTCCTTCGGAAGTTACGAGGCCGATGCCCCTTCTGACAGTCAGAGCAACCATTTATTTGGGTACATGGAATGTTCGTACAATGTGGGACACCGGGAGAGCCTTCCAACACCAAGGTCAGGATTTTCAATACAAATGTCAAGACAGTTTTACTGTATGGGGCAGAAACCTGGAGAACTCCGAAAGCCATCATCCAGAAAATACAGGTGTTTATTAACAGTTGTCTACGCAAAATACTTCAGATCCGTTGGCCGGACACTATCAGCAACAACCTACTGTGGGAGAGAACAAACCAGATCCCAGCGGAGGAAGAAGCGCTGGAAGTGGATAGGACACACATTGAGGAAAGCACCCAACTGCGTCACAAGACAAGCCCCCACATGGAATCCTCAAGGCCAAAGGAAAAGAGGAAGATCAAAGAACACATTACGCCGGGAAATGGAAATAGACATGAGAAAAATGAACAAGAATTGGATGGAACTAGAAGGGAAGGCCCAGGACAGAGTGGGTTGGAGAATGCTGGTCGGCGGCCTATGCTCCATAAGGAGTAACAGGCGTAAGTAAGTAATTAAGTAAGATGGTTGGTTAACATTTTACGTATGCCTGAACACCGATTACCACGACGCACAACGCTGACTAGTGTTGAAGACGGCTGGAAGTAAGTTAGGGGTGGCCAAAATAACACTTGATATCAGTCCTTGAAGTCACTAACTTCTAGTCTGAACCATATCGGTAGATGCAGACTACTTG